GATCGCCATGAGTTGGAGGCCAGCCTGGGCTACACAGTGAGTTCAGGGTCAGCCTGAACTACAAAGGGAGACCCTGCCTCAAAAAACAAAACAAGGCCTGGAGATTTAGCTCAGTGGTTCTGCTGCCTGCCTTGCAAGCACTAAGACCTGAGTTCGATCCCCGTTACCAAAAAACAAAACAAAAAATTTGTCTAAAGGTTTTAGCAGCACCCCGAATATGTCCTCACCCTCTGACTGCTGGCTTTGTGGTCACAGACCCCTCTCTGACTATGCTGCCCCTTCCTCCTCTTGTAAGGAATCTTCTGAAGGTAAGGTTTCACTGTGTAGCCCAGGCTGGTCTTGACTCCTGGTGTACTTCCTGCCTCAGCCTCCCAAGTGGAGGGATTACAGGTGTGCGTCACCATGCCTGGCTGGGAAGACATTTTAAGAAGAGTAGCATGATGGTGACCAGACATAGACGTGGTCAGGGAAGTCCCTATGAGGCAGTGGCTTTTGAATCAAAGCCTCAATTATGCCACGTTGAAGATGTTTGGTAAATTTGGGGCCTGTTAGTTGACTTTTCCCTCTCTTACCCACTCGTGAGCGAGCTGCAGTAGGCAGAACAGTTCCAACTTACAGAGTAAATATTGTTAGTTACTCTGCACCAGGGATTTAAGTCTCACTTTTCTGAATTTCAAGTCCATATCAAGAACCAACACTTTCTCTTCAGGTTCAGAAACAGTACTACTGTTTTATGCATACTGTCTACACAGAAAGCCCTAAAATTGCAAGAGTGAAGGCCAAATTGGGTGTAATTTAAATCCTTTCCACCTCCTGAAATCACTGTGTAACCCAGGTTGGTTTCAAACTCCTGGTGATCCTCCTGCCTCAGCCTCCCAAGTGCTGGGATTATAGGCATGGGCACCACACTCAGCTGAAATAATTTCTAAAGCTTTTTCAGGAAACTTCCTCAGCAAATGTCTAGTTCCTTGCTGAACAGCAGGTGCAAGGAGCCAGATTCTAGCTTCTTTCTTTTCTTTTTGATACCAGAGATTAAACTCAGGACCTTGCACTGAGCTGCATCCCCGGCCCTTTTTGGTTTCTTCTGGGAGGGTTGTACCGTGTCTCTCGAGCCCTGTAGCTGGTCAGGGGCCAGCAGAGTGTCTGGACTCCTGGTTTTCCAAGGGGAAAGTATCTTCCTGTGGCCCATGAAAGGGAGAGACAAGGAAAGACTCATGAGGCCCAAGGAGTGAGTGACAAAGAGGTCAGTACGGGGTTACTGGACTGGAGTGTGCTGCAATCTGGCGTAGAGACAGGAGGAGCCCAAGGTCTGAGGCCAGCCCAGACCACTCAAAACCAGAAAGGAAGAAGGGAAAAGGGAAGAGGGAGAGAAGGAGGCAGGCAGGGAGAGAGGGAAAAGAAAATCACAAGGGCTAGGTGTGGAGCTCCATTTCCCCAGCAGGTGTAAAGCCCTGAGTTCAATCCCCACAGTAAGGACAACAACAATTACAAAGAGGCCACAGTACAACATCCTTACCCCAACCTCAGGCCTCACCCCAGAAGAGGGCGCGGTTACTTTATCCTGGGGTGTGGCCAGAAATCCTGCAATGCCATTCTGTGGATGTTGTCTCCCTGGCTGCCCTTTGTCTTCTCCTAAATCTATATAATTCTTGGGCTTTAGGGCTGTGGGTATAGCTCAGCGGCAAAGTTCTTGCCCAACAGGTGAAAATTCGAAGGTTTTTTTCCTTTTAGAAAATAGCCTTTTTGAGGTGTGACACACAGTAGGCCGCACAAACACCCAGTGTGCTTCTGGGTAGTTCTGATGTGTGTACATCCAGGAAAGCCTCCCACAGCGGGGATAATGAGCAAAGCCCACCGGACATGGGCAGGGTAGGGTGAGGGAGGGGCACACTCTTGCCGGGCCTGACCTCGTACTGTCAGCTCAAAAATGTGTGCTGAGTAATAGGAGTTGAGTCACACACACACACACACACACACACACACACACACGCAAAAATGTCTACAAAAGTGGGCAGGAAAAAAGCAATTTCCCACCCACTTGGCAGGTGATTAGTAGCTCATTAAGATAAATCCTGTCACCACGCTGTCACTTCTCTCTTCTCATGCACAGGGCTCAGCTGGAACCCAAAGGGCTGAGAAAATGCCCAGCTGGTGCTCAGCCCAGCTCTTAGCTGCTCCATACAAAGGCAGAAGGAATTTCTGTCCTTGGTTCCTTAAAAGTCCTTGTGTAGCGGTGCATGGTGGTGCACGTCTGTAATCCCAGCACTTGGGAGGCTGAGGCAGGAGGATCGCTGTGAGTTCAAGACCAGCCTGAGCTACATAGTGAGTTCCAGGTCAGTCTCAACTACATAGTGAGACCCTGTCTCAAAAAAAAAACAAAAAAAAACAAAGTCCTTGCCTCGCACAGGCCCCATATGAGTCAGCCCAGGAAAATGGGGGCTGGGGTTGTAGGGAATGAGTTCCTTTCCAGTCTATCTCACTTTTCCCCTGTGATTTGAGAGAAAGTGATGGTCCTCTCTTATTTATTTATTTGTTTATTTATTTTTGAGACAGGGTCTCACTGTGTATTCGAGGCTGGCCTTGAACTTCCAGTGATCCTCCTGCTGGAACTACAGGCGTGCGCCACCACACCCAACCCTCTTTTATTCTAACACCAGCCTCTCTTCCTATCTGTCCAGATTTAATTCCTGCTCTTCTCCAACATTCAGCAATATTTCTTTTTTTGATACCGGGGATCGAACTCGGGTCCTCGCACTTGCAAGTCAGGAGGTGGAACCACTGAGCCCTAGATTCAGTAATATTTAGAGGACACCTGCCTGGTGCCAGGCACTGTGGTAGGTGCAAGGAAAATAGCAGAAGTCAAAACAGACAGCAATCCCTGCCTTTGCAGTTTACCCTATAACTTTCCCTTTGCAGAGAAACGAAAAGCTAGAAAATAAATTCCACGTGCACAGAAGAACTTCTGCAGAAAGTAGCTTTTGCCTGCCCGGGTGCGGGGGTGCATCTTCCAAGCCTTTTGCACTGAAGGGCTGCCGTCCGGTCCGTTCTTTCTGTCCGCCATAGCCACCTCTGAGCAGTTCCTACCCCGGGTCCCAGTGCTCTCGTCCCCGCTGGGGCTCGGAACGGGAGCCTTTTCCGCCTTCCGCCTGTGGGGGCGCTCGTGTCCCCTCCGCCGGGCCGGCCCTGAGGTCTGCAGCTGCAGCCCCTTGGTCCCTGTCCCCTCGCTGCCTAAAAGGTCTTTCCTTTCCTCGGCCCCCCACAGCGGCCCACTGACTCTCACTCTTGCTACTTTACTTCCCAGAGCAGACGTCTCTCAATACTCGACTTCCAGACCCTCCTCTCACCAGGGCCAGGTCTACGTTTCCAATGTTCTCCAGGATTTCTGCACTTGCTCTCCCTTTACCTGGGACGCAGACAGACCAGGGCTACCGACCTCCCGGTAGCCCACCTCTCCTTCCCAACCCGCCTGCGCTTAGCAGAGCTCTCGATCCCCTTGCTCTTATTATTTGTTTATTTTGGTACCGGGGATCGAACTCGGGACCTTGCGCTGGCGAGGCAGGCGGAGGCACCACCGAGCTAAATCCCGGGCCCTCCTTCAGGATTTTAGAAGAAACCACTTGCTTTGAATTATGCTAGTGACTAGCTACTGAAAGAAAGGGGACTGCCGGCTACCTGAACATGAGAAAAATTGGAATAAATAGATACTAAAATACAAGCAAAGTTTATGGGAATGTGTGGGGATCATGTCAACCTTTGACGAAGGCTAGATAGAAAACAGCATTTGACTTAAGGAAGGCTCGCCATTCTAGGCTAAAGTCAGAGGGCAGAGAAAGAACGTGCAGGGGGCTGTGTGTGGTTGCAGATGCCTGTAATCGCACATGGGAGGCTGAGGCAGGAGGATCGCCGTGAATTCTACGCCAGCCTGGGCTACATAGTGCTTATTTAAAAAAAAAAAAAAAAAAGAAGAAGAAGAAGAAGAAGAAGAAGAAGAAGAAGAAGAAGAAGAAGAGGGCCAGAGATGTAGCTCAGTGGCGCCACATGTGCCTGGCATGCTCAAGGTCCTGACTTCAATCGTGTGCCCCCCCCAACAAAGAAACAAAAGTAAAAAAAAAGTGGGTATAAACTGCTCAGAGGTGGCCGGTAGAAGGGAGGGGACTGGAGAGCAGCTCCACATTGCAAAGGGTTAGCAGGTTCTCCCTTGCGTCGTGGGAGGACCCTCAGTGAGCACGGGCAGCGGAAGGTTCCTGGGGGCTTCAAGGAGAGGACGGGGTCGGAGCAGAGGGGAACAAGGATTCAGTCACCCGGGGGCTGGTTCCGAACCCTGCACACTGCTGGCTTCCACAGGGCTCCGCTCCTATTCGTCAGTGAACTAGTGGGAAGTGAGGATTATAAAAAGCAGAGACTCAACTGTCTCAGCCCAGAGGAGTTTAAGAAGACGTGAATAAGCCTGGTGAGGAGTGTACACCTACAGTCCCAGCGATTCGGAAGGCTGAGGCAGGAGGATTGCAAGTTTGAAGCCAGTCTGAGCAATTTAGTGAGACCCTATCTCAAAATCAACATTTTAGTGGGGCCGTTTAGCTCAGTGGTGCTGTCATCTGCCTCCAAAGTGCAGTAGTTAGATCCCCGCTGCAAAAAAAAAAAGTTTGTTTGTTTTTGAGACAGGGTCTCACTATGTAGTTGAGACTGACCTGGAACTCACTGTGTAGCCCAGGCTGCTCTCGAACTCACAGCGATCCTCCTGCCTCAGCCTCCCGAGTGCTGGGATTACAGGAGTGCGCACCACGCCCGGCTCCTTCCTTGTTTTTCCTCCCTTTCTCTCTTTCTCCTCCCCCTTCCTCCCTTTCCTCCTCCTCCTTTTTCTCCTTCCTCTCCTTTTTCTTCTCTCTCTCTCCCCTCCCCTCCTTTCTCCTGAGGTTTGAACCCCGGGTATCAGATGTGCTGAGAACACCTTCCTCCACTGAGCTACATCTGCTTCTAATCCTCCGCTAATTTTTCTTCAGACCCGGAGATTGAACCCCGGGCCTCACACGTGCTGGCCAAGGGCCTCTGCCCAGAGCTTCTCCATACCCCTGCCCTCCTTTCCGAGTTCTGACTGAGCTGAACCACGGGGTGAGTGCTCCACTTATATGCTATTCTGAAACCTCTAGTCGTTCTGTGTACCAGAAACACTTAAGCACTTGTCATTACTATTTTAATTGCCATTCTAATTACTTTACGAACGTTACCTGATCTAATCTTCACAATTACTTTATGAGGTAGTTGGCCGTATCACCCCCTTTCAGCGTCAGGAGGCAGAAGTCCAAAGACATCAGCAGCGCGCTCCAGGTCCCTCGGAAACGGTGTAACCCAGTCACACTTCTACCACGTCAGTCGGCCGGAAGTGGCCGAAGGGATTCATGATGTGCTGAGGTGGGGGGGGTGTTTCTTTCCTTCCTTCTTTCTTTCCTCCCTCCCTCCCTCCCTCCCTCCCTCCCTCCTTCTTTTCTTTCTTTCTTTCTTTCTTTCTTTCTTTCTTTCTTTCTTTCTTTCTTTCTTTCTTTCTTTCTTTCTTTCTTTCTTTCTTTCTTTCTTTCTGTCTTTCTTTCTTTTCTTTCTTTCTCCAGGATCTCACTGTGTAGCCCAGGTCACCCTCAGACTCACGGTGATCCCCGGTGATCCTCCTGTCTCAGCCTCCCTAGTGCTGGGATTACAGGCGTGCACCATCATTTCCAGTCTTGAGAACTCCGTGTCATGTATAAAATCCTTTCAACTGCCTAGAGTTCTCTGACTTCATTTATGCAGGGCTGACGCTGCCAGCTCTGGGAATGGACTTGGGACTCAGACGCTGGCCACTGAGGTCTGGGGCTGCAGTGAGAGGAGCGGGGAGAGGGGGGGGCGCTTGCTGTCCCCTCCCTTCCTGTCCCCCTCTCTCCCACAGGGCCTGAGCCCAGCCTGGGCCGCCTGTAACCCGGCTTCCACCCGCTATGAGTGTGGCCGGTGAGTCCTGCGTCCACACCTGGGCGGTGAAAGAAACTCATCCGCTGCCGGGCTCAGCCCTACACACGGACCCCCGGGTGCCTCGGTGTGAACCTTGGCCCAGCCACCTCACCGTGTCCTCTTGCCCGGCCTGTGTGACATCCCTGTTCCTGCTAATACAGCGCAGGCCCTCGCCAAGCAGGCGCTGCGTGCCACTCTGAGGGGTGCTGGGCTATGACCGTCCTCATCCTACAGATAAGCAAGGCAAGGAGCAGGGAGGTGGAGCAGTTTGCCCACACACAGCGCTAGCAAAGGGCAGTCTGAACAATTTGTGCAGCATTAGCAGGAAGGTAAAAGGAGGCAGTGTGCATAAGTATCCGACACAGAAAGGAGCTCTGTAAGTACCTCCTTGCATTAGTTATAATGTTTGGCTACATAAAACAAAATCTAGGTAAGAGCGATTAAAGGAAACCAAAAGTTTTTTTTTCCTAGTCTGGAAGAAACACCAAATAGGCACACTGAAGCTGGGCATGGTGGGGCATGACTGTAATCCCAACGTCGGGAAGGCTGAGGCAGGGGGATCTCCTGGATTTCAAGGCCAGCCTAGACTACATAGTGAGATCCCGTCTCCAAAAACGAAACGGCAAGCTGAGGCTGCGGGGGCTCCTTCCAGCTCTGCTCTGCTGTCCCTCGCTCATGACCTTCATTCCCAGCGTTGCCTCGTGGCAGCAAGGTGCCCGTCTGGATGCCACACCTGTGTGGAATAAGGACGAGGCAAAGACAGAAGGAGGAGCCCTCGGGGCGGAGTCAGCTCCCCTTAACAGGCTTCCCGCGGAGATCCAGCCAAACGCCGCTCTTCACCGCGGTGCCTCACGCACGCACACGCACGCACACGCACACACACACGCACACACACACGCACACCCGCCTACCACCGAGGCTCCGAGAGGCCACTGCCGCCCTCACTCACGGAGGGCTGTGTCTCTGAGGAAGCGTGGAACTCTGGCTGAGGAGCGAGCTGGCAGATGCCCGCGTCTCGGAGCACCCTAGACGCGCGCTCTGTACTGATCTCACCCAAACCTTTCGTTACTGGATAGGCGACTGTGACCATTCACCCTGACGCGTCGTCTTCATGGATTAGGAAACCCCTGGTAGCTCATGAGTAGAGCAGGTTCCTGGGGTGTCTGCATGAGTCGCGGAGGCCGACGTTGGGTCGTGCCTTCCCTCTGGCTCTGGCCCCTGCTCTGCTCCCTGGACCGCAGGAACCAGGTAGCTCTGCTCAGCCACACCCTTCTGCCGTGATGTTTCTGCCCGAAAGCCAGCTGACCGTGGACTGATTCCTCTTAAAGCGCAAGCTAAATCATATCTTTCCTACTTTATTTTTGTTGTTGTTGTTGTTTTGTTGAGACAGGGTCTCACTATGTAGTTGAGACTGACCTGGAACTCACGATGTAGCCCAGGCTGGTCTCGAACTCACAGCGATCCTCCTGCCTCAGCCTCCCCAGTGCTGGGATGACAGGCGTGCGCCACGACGCCCGGCTCATTTTTTTATTTGACAACATTCACTGAGCACAGCTCTTGGTGAGAGACACCATGAGAGATTAACATGAGAAGACCCGTCCCCAGCCTCCCCAGCTCATGGTCCAGGGGGAAGAAAACCATTCTCTGGAGGTAACTGGCTTGTCTTTATCAATTAATATTGCTCTCTTGCAAGAAAGGGGGCTTTGCCAAGCAAATAAGAATTAAGAGGGCCAGGGATTTAGCTCAGTGGTGCTGCCGCCTGCCTCAAAAGCACAAGGACCGAGTTTGATCCCCAGCACCAGAAGAGAGAAAAGAGACAGAGAGAGATAGGGTCTCGCTCTGTAGTTCAGGCTGGCCTTGAACGCCTTCATTACGTACACTGGGCAAGCCTCAAACTCATGGTGATCCTCCCGCCTCAGCCTCCCAGGTACTGGGATTACAGGTATGCGCCACCATGCCTGGCTATTTAAAAAATGTTCAAGACAGGGTCCAGCTAAATTTCTCAGGCTGACCTTGAACTTGCAATCCTTTTTCCTCGGTCTTCAGAGCAGCTGGGATTATGGGAAGGCCCGGCAGAATTTGAGTGAAGAGTCTCTGAGGTCAGACTGGGGTGGAAGGAAAGTCACAGTCGATGGTTAAATGGCTCTGTTGACCAGCAGGACCTGAACTCCTAGCGGGGATGGCGGTGCATACCTGTAATCCAACTGCAGAGCATGCAGAGACTGGAGGATTGCAAGTTACCTGGGCAAACTAGCAAGAACCTATCTCAGAATTAAAATTATTTTCTTGTTTTTTAGCCTTTTTTTCTTTATTAAGTTTATTGGTACGTTTTAGGTATACAGTACACTTACATTCATCATTGAGAGCTTGTGCCTTTACATGATGCACCTTGGTTCTAATTTTTCCCCATACCCCTGCCCTCCCCTCACCACCCCCTTTCCTTATTTACAAAGACTTTGTTTTTATTTTTTCCACTTTTTAGCTTTTTTCAAACAGGGTCTCACTTCGTAGTTCAGGCTGGCCTTGACCTTATTATGTAGCCCAGGCTGGCCTCACTTTTGGTGATCCTCCTGCCTCATCCTCCTGAGTGCTGGGATTACAGGATTGTGCCACCACACCTGGCCAACATGTTTGAATGAAACAGTAATTCGGAAATATTTGAAATCACACTGATGAACTATTCTCACTCAGGAATTTTACTTCAACCTAACACAGGCCTAGGGTATCTTTTTAAATAAAGTGTTAAATTATGCTGTGTTAGATATTTTTAAAGATGTTAAAAATCCTATACTTTACAATACCGAAAAGTGTCTTTTGAAGTTGGACATGGTGGTATATTCCTGTAATCTCAGCACTTGGGAGGCTGAGGCAGGAGGATCTCTGTGGTTGGAGCCCACCCTGGGCTACATAGTGAGTTCAAGGCCAGCCTGAATTACATAGTGAGACCTCATCTCAAAAAAAAAAAAAAAAAAATTAAGGCCTGGGTATGTGTAGCTTGGTGTAGAGGACATGGGTTTGATCCCAGTACTGGGAGAAAAAGTGCTGGCTAATTCTGAAGCTGGGAGCCCAGGTTTACTGAATGGGTCCCCTTTGGGGCAGCCTCGGATGAAGGGTCCCTCGTCCAGAAGCAACTTGTCCGGGCTGAGGTGGCCTGGAGTGGCCTGCCTGGCGTCCACTGTGTTTGACAAGTCCTTCTCAGAAGTGTGCTGCCCCCTGCTGTTCTGGAGCTGCCCTGCTTGAGGTAAGGCAGAGGGGCGTGGGCAGCTGACCTCGCCAGTGTCACAGCCATCCGGGGGGTCACTAAAGCTACTTCCTCAGGACTTAGAGGGAGCAGCCCAAGGGTCTACTCACCTGTCTCCCAAGCAAGAGAACTGACCCTCAAAAGAAATCCTGTAAAGCCAAGGACACTGCTGGCTTCCAGCACAGCAAAGTTTTATTTAATTAGGTATTTCAATCGCTTGTTTTTGTTTTTGTTTTTTCTGGTACTGGGGATCCAGCTCAGGACCTTACGCTTGCCCAGGCAGGTGCAGGGCCGCTGAGCTACATCCCTGACTTTGTTTACTTATTGACCGCCCAGCCACTGAATAATGAATGTGCCTGTGTCCCTGCCCTCCTGCCAGGGGGCAGCAGTGTCCACGTGGACCCGAGAGAGTGGCTGCCCGCAAGAACCAGCCTCCTCCCTGGGTCCAAGCCACCAAATGAGCTGTAGTAACTGCTCCATTTTCTCCCCTCTGAATCGTGAAGGGAATTATTTCCCTCCCAGAAGGAGGAGATAATCTGGATTTTCCATAGAAACTCATTAATCTAGAGGAAAAGTTCACTGAGGACTCGCGATGTATGCCAGGCTGGCTTCGAATGAACTTGTAGTGACCCTCCTGCCTCAGCCTCCTGAGGGCTGACATTACAGGCATGCACGGCCACACCTCTCTCTTCTGATTTTCAAGTGAAGAACATGAAACACAGAAGTAACCACAGCTCAAATATTAAAATCTATTTACATTCAGAATTTTAATAGACTAAAGCAGATAGGCAAGCTGGGTGTGGTGGCACACACCTGTAATCCCAGCACTCGGGAGGCTGAGGCAGGAGGATCACTGAGAGTTCGAGACCAGCCTGGACTACATAGTGAGTTCCAGGTCAGTCTCAACTACATAGTGAGACCCTGTCTCAAACCGCCCCCCCCAAAAAATAAATAAATAAAGCAGATAGGCAAACAAAGAGTAAAGAAAGTGGAAAGTGGAGGCACATGTTATGGCCCTAGCTAGTCAGGATGTGGAGGCAGAAGGATTACAAACTCCAGCCTGGCCTGGGCAGTGTAGTAAGAAGTCATCGCAAAATAAAGTTTAAAATGGCTGGGGTTTGGGCCGGGGATTTAGCTCAGCGGTGCTGCCTGCT